TCGTCACTACTTCGCCGGGTTAGGCCAGGCACTTACCAGCACATGGGGTCGGTTGTGCTGATGCTACACTTCTGTGCTCTTTTGCACAGATCACGGTACCGGAGCAGCTTTTGGACCACAGCAGTAGGATATCGATCGGGAGCTGACTTCAGTCCAGGGACTTACGAGGTAGCCTAGCTGGCGTTCGCAGGCCGGAGTCCCTTTCTATGTTTCAGTTTGTTTCCATTGTACCGAGACAGACATTTATGTATTTCTATTCGGACTTGTTTGTAGCACTCTTTAGTAGTTCGTGAGATAGCGACTCCAGTCTTGGGTAGTGAAATATTAGACTTCCGCATTTTGGGTTTTCAGTTATCTATGTTTTGAAAGACTTTCGCATTTATTTAAAGACTCGTTATTTTATTATTGTTATGTTGTTATCCGAAAATGTTTAAATGTTTGGCTTGCCTAGCTCCAACAGTAGGCGCCATCACGACTCCCGATGGTGGAAAATTCGGGTCGTGACATTTACCCTTAATGAGAAGCTTTTATAGCCACACAAATGGCATGACCCCACAAACCTTTTACCCTATAAGCTTTTAAGACCACAACTTTCAAAAGTCTTCTTCTTTTTTCTTAAACTCCGTGCCGAGTCAAACTAGATCAAATAATATGAAACGGAGGGAGTAATAAAAAGAGATAAGCAGCCTGGTGCACGAAGCATCTTGTGTTCACGCTGGGTCCGAAAAGGGGCACACCCCAAGGAGTGTGATGTAGGAAACTTACCTGATACAAGTATTAGTGGCTGATTCCACGACCCGAACCCGTGACCTATAGGTCACATGGACAATTTTACTGGTACTCCAAAGCTCCCCTTCTTATAAAATTAAAAAAGAGATATAAATTCATATAATAAAGAAAAGATGGAATGCTTGTTCTGCCTTGCGTCTGAACATGGTACTCCCTCCGGTCCACAATAAGTGTCCAATTTACTTTTAGCACGCCCATTAAGAAAATACTAAATCCTATACAAAATTACCTAGTATGACTAAACTACCCTTATTTAGTAAGTTAATATGATGAGAGAGAAATTTTTTTAGGGATATGCACATAAGGGTAAAAGAGTAAAAACAAATTGAATTTTTTCTTGATTACCTAACTAGACACTTATTTTGGACCAAAATCAAAAAGTAAATTGGACACTTATTATGGACCGCAGGGAGTATTTATTAGCTTAACTCTGAATCTCATCAGTTAGGTTCCTTTGGTTATCTAACTTACCAATTACCAGCTGGGCACAAATTATGGGGTTTTTGTCATTACCCACTCGCCCTCACATTCTTAACAAGGAGTTGTATTCGCCCCTACACTCCAAGGGGGTGGTCTAGTGTCCAAAGAGTTGGAGTGACAAGTATGAGAACCAAGGTTTGATAAATAGAGTGTGAAAGATGGTAGACATCAAGTGGATTAGTCAAGGTGCACCCAAGCTGTTCTAAATATCTATATTATATTAAAAGGAGAGTAGTATGCATTGTGGTTAAGTCAAGTGACAAGCTAAAAAGAAGCCACTTGGTAATTTTAGGACAATAATAATAACTAAAAATTATATATAGAAACATAATTAATTGAAGTAGCTTAATGAATCTTATACATAATCTAAATAGATCTTAGACAAATCTAATCTATATATCTCTATTTAAATTTTTATGAATATCTGTACCTATATCTATATCTATCTATCTATCTATATATATATATATATATATATATATATATAATTTGTACAATTAAGTTATTAAAAATATGAATTTAAATTATAAAACAAACACATAATTATTAATGATAGTTTGGTGCTATTGGGACTCAAATATCGAGCCTGGAACCCATAGGTACAATTAATACAATTAATATTTAATATACAAAATAAATTACAATTAATGTTGTTTTAATTTACGGTTGACGACATGNTTATAAGGTAAGAAAAAAATTAAATAATCAGCAAAAGATATTTTAATAACAAGAAAAATAAATTCATATTAATATTGATAAATCATGCAAAGGAATATTTTATACTTAAATATTACTACAATATCTAGATATAATGTGTTCAAACAATTAAAAAAAAACTTTTCTATGATTAATATTTGAATTAAGTTCAGTTAGTTTAAGTTTGACAGCATAACATAATTTTTTAAAAATACGGTCAAATTAAGAGAATAGAATGATAAAAATTGTTTGAATTTAAGATGACAAAGTAATTTTTATCTATATTATTTTAGAATGAGTGTGGTAAAAATAGATATTAAATTCAAATAGGCTAATAAAAATTCACATGACAATGTAATAATATTAGGTATTGAATAATGTAAAATCAAAAATAAAGAACAAATAAAGAAAAAAAATAAAAATTCAGATTTTTTATCATAGGAAAAAGTGTAAATCTTAATTAATTTTGATATGAGAAAGTTTTTTATATTATAATAAGAAAAGTCATAATATCAGTCCACATAACTCAGGTCTAATAGTAAAATCAAAAACTAAAAATATTGAACAATAAAAATAAATTAGAGATAATGTGAGGACATTTATAAATAATAAGTTTAGAAAATAAAATAAAGTAAATATAAAATACTTAAAAATTATTAAATTTTAAATAATTTAAAATTTTCGAGCAATATTTAAAAATAAATAAATATATATTTTATAATTAAAAAATTATATATTTATCTTATATTATTAAAAAAAGTAGTTGATAATGATATTAAATAAATTTACAAGTTAATGTAACGCCACATAAAACGTTATTAGACTATATATTAGATTAAAAGAAATAGCAAAATTATGTTAAATTATTAGAAATTTACTATTAGAAATGAAAAGAAAAGACTATTTGAATTTGAGATTAGAAAGTTTTTAAACCTATGATGCGAATGCTCAAATATGGATAATACCACGAAATTAAAGTCTTATTTATGAAAAATAAAACAATAAAAAAATAAAAATTTTAAATTACAAAATAAATTTATAATATAGGTAATTTTACACAAAATTAAATTTGTATCTTAAAACTAAGAAGAAAGAAAATTTATGTAAAGAAATAAAATGACAGTGAAAATATTACTACAACATTTAGATATAACATGTTCAAACAATTTAGAAAATATTTTTCAATGATTAATATCTGAATCCAGTGCAGTTAGTTTGAGTTTGAATACATAGCATAATTTTTTGAAAATGCGGTAAGTTTAGAAAATAGAATGATAAGAATTATTTGAATTTGAGATGAGATTTTTTTAAAAAAAAATATTACATAAGGAACTAAAATGACAGTAAAAATATTACTAAACTATTTAGAAATAATGTGTTCAAACAATTAAGAATTTATTTCTATGATTAAATAAAATTTTAAAAATACAAAATAAATTTCTAATATTGGTAATCTTACTAATGAAAACTAAAAATTAAATTGTATCTTATCCCTTAGAAAGAAAGAAAATTTAACTGCATGTAATACAAGATTAATTATAAGAGAACTCAATACATTTGGAACATGATAACCAAATAACTTGTGTATTTATATTTTAGACTAATTAAAAGTTACAATTTAAAACAAAATATGATATTAATTTGGTTATAGGTAAAACATTAATATAAAAACTAATTAACATTTATAGTAGGGAAGAGAATGTGTATAAAATAAATAGAGGTAGTGGGAGGATACTTATACTTTAAATTAATTTAAAAAATGATAAAAAAAAATAATTAAATTATATTTAAAAATACTACCGATAAATTTAAATGATTAAAATATTATGAATAAGAGGATGAAAGCATAAAAATATGCCAAATTTCAAAAATAAAACATTTATTTTTATTAAATACTATTAAAAGGATAATAAGCAAGACATTAATTTAATTATAAGCTAATAAAAATTATATTGGTAGTCTAATAATATTAAATATTAAATAATACAATAACTATAAGAAAGAACAAAAAAAAAAAAGAATTTACGTAAAAATGATGTGATGAATAAGATATATTTTGACTTCCTGATAAAAATAAAGTGATAGTAAGAATTTTGTTAAAATAATATGATCTAATGTGCTCGAACAAGATAGATCACAATATGACATGTTTAGTATTTTTTAATAGCGATAGTGGAACGAAATGCAAGTACTAGAATCAAGGGGTTAGGTTGCTACAAATATATATTAAAAAGATTGGTTGTCTACTACGAGATTTGAACAATAATTTCATATCCTGCTTCATAATTAAATTCTCATGTTATATAGTAATTTTTATCTGAGAGGTTTATATTTTAAGAATATTTGTACATGATTCAAACAACCTACATCACAATTTGAAATGATTTGTCCGCGCATCGCGCGGGTACTAATGCTAGTTATCATTAGCACAAAAAAATAAACAAATGTATAAATGGTCGAGTGATCATGCTAAGTATGGTTGATTGAGGCCTATGTTACTGGTAGTACAGATCCATGAAACTATGTTTCTATATTGTAGACTTGGTCATGACACTTACAATATGGTTTGACAGTTAAAACTGTAACTGGATATATATTGTTGACAGAGAAAGGACAATATATGTCGATTCAAACATGTTTTCGTGAACCCAAGTACAGTCATGTCAATAGATAGCATAAGACTTGTATTTGACCTTTCAGTTACATTAACTCCGCAATCTCAATTTGTGTGATGTTGTTTTACTGGGAAAGACTTCTAAAACTAGTGGTCCAAAACAAGCATAAACATGTGTATAGCTTTAAATCATCTCATTAAAAAATAAAATGAAAAGTTTTAAGTTAAATTATTTCTAATATAGAAAAGTATTATTCTCGTGATCAAACTAAAAAGGAAAAGTATGACATATTTTGGGACAGGGGGAGCATTAAAGTGCAAAAAGAAGAAAAGCAACATGAATACACATGAGATGGTTGGGTATGTCTGACTATATACAAATAGGACTATTTGTGGTCAACAAACCTCAACCAAGTCCCAGTAAAACAGAATAAATTTTGGAACGTTGTGATTAATAATTTGTGGCAGCAAATCCCTTTTTGTATCAAGGTAAAACAAACAAGGTAATAAGTGAAAGTAGACTAGCAGAATACAAGGTGAAATAAAGTTGAAACTTGAAACAACATTAATGAAAACCTGTTTATATTTCAACAGAGCAAATCAGAACATAATCTTGCTATGAATTCTAGACTCAAAAATCAGTGTTTTCCTTTAAATTGGGGTTGTCAGAAATGTCTGTGGTGATGATGTTGATGTCTGTGTTCATCCAATCCAAAGCACTGCAAAACAGGGAAACATACTACAAAGAGGCACCTCTTTAACACAGAGAAAGTAGAAGAAACTACAAAACAAGGGCAACAACAACATGCCAAGAATGGATCATCATATGGTCTATTTCCTTCATTATGATTATTATGATGATGATGATGATGATGATGACCCATCTTCTTCTTTGACCTGATCAATATACAAAACCAATGATTACCCATTACTCAATTGGCAAAACAAAAACTACCCCTTAACTAAAAGTTTGTTATAAAAATAGGCAGCCCAATGCAGTAAGCTCTCGCTATACTCGGGGTCCAGGGAAGGGTCGGACCACAAGGGTCTATTTTACCCAGCCTTAGCAAGAGGCTGTTTCTACGGCTCGAACCCGTGACCTTCTGGTCACATGGCGGCACCCCTTCGTAAAAGTTTGTTATAATTGAGCAAAAAGATCAGATCTTTGATGTAAAATATGTAAGTAATTCAGAGTTGAGATATGAACCTCCTGTTTCTTCTTCTAATTCTTGGGAGATCTTAAGCTAAAAGAATAATGCAAGAGTAATTGTAAAAGAAGGGAAGCAGAGGAGATTGGTTGGAATGAGAATAGCTGTATCAGACCAGCAAAATTGGGAGGAATAAGACTTGTTTGTAGTTGAACTGAAAAAGAGTTATAAAGCGTGTGAATTTCGTGTTGGGTTGTCACAATTATAATCATTTGTCAAGTAGATAGCACTCCAACTAATATAAAATTTCAGCAAACTGGGTATCCAGGCTTTTGCTACCGTTAGTATATCTACAAGTCTAATCCAATTAGACCAAAAATCAGACGTGGCATTAAGTGACTGGTTCAGTTGATCTTGACAATGAGAATATAGAAGTACAGTCCGGTGCATAAAAAATTCTGTATTTGCATCCGGGGAAGGGCCACACCTTTAGGGTTGTGATGTAGACAACATACCTGATGTAATCGAACACGTAACTTATAAATTGCAGGGAGATAACTTTGCTCTAACTTTTTAGAATAGGGCATATTCTTTTCTGATTTTAAGTTATTATACACGATGGCTTGGGGGGCAATGATTAGTTTCTTCTATAGTGGTACAAGCTGGGAATGCTATTTGGACTTTTGAGGCAAAGCCACTACAAATAATATATTGAACATAACATGAGGATTGAAGACTTTGATTAAAAAACTGAAGATTGGACTTGTTAATCATGATTCACGAGCAGTTTATTTTTGTATATATAATTTTATTATTAGTTAACTATATATAGAGATTAAGCCGAAGTCAATAAATGCGGCTAGCGTACCAGTATTTGTCCTTGTCGATATGCTTTTTTTTTTGGTCAGCTATATATAATATGCTTGAAAAGGAATGAAAATAAAATATCCTCTAAATTGAGATATTTGATCCTATTAATGTGTTTTTTTTTACAAATTTTTTGTAGTATCAAAATTATTGGATAAATTTCACAAATGGTCATATAACTAACTTTTTTTCATCAAAGTCATATATTTTCTCACACAAAAATCATAAAACTTTCACTAAATCACACAAAAAAAACACAAATTTTTTGTAGTATTTTTTTCAAAATAAATAATAATCTAAATAAAATAGGAATAAACAAACCCGACCCAACCCCACCCGACAATATCCATATATATATAAATGAAAATAATACTAAAAGTGAATCCTCCAAAACACGATATTTTTATCTTCTATGTTTTCGTCAAATTGATAGCATTATTGTTTTAACAGCTCTATAATTATCCATACCTTATTGTTTTGGGTCATAATCGAAATTTAAAAATAGCCAGATTTACCACTGGTCGTTGAAAAATAGCCAAGTTTCAAAAGTCATCGAAATTTAGCCACTTTAAATCTGAGCGAAAACACTGTTCAAAATCCGGAAAAATACGCCCGCAAATTTTACGGGTATTTTACGGGAGTTCCAGGATAACTATGCTGGAACTCCCGCAAATTTTACGGGAGTTCAGGCATAATTATGCTGGAACTCCCGCAAATTTTACAGGAGTTCCAGCAAGTATAATTGTCCAGTATAATATACTGGAGTTTGGAGCACTGGTGCTCCAGTCTCCCGCAAATTTTACAGGAGTTAGCAAAGTATACCGGTCCAGCATAATATGCTGGAGTTCGTACACAAATGCACTAGAACTCCCATATATTATACTGGACTGGTCCCTGTTGCAGCAAAATAATGGCTATTTTTCATTGACTTGATAAACGCTGGCTATTTTTCATTGACCAGTGTGAAAACTGGCTATACCATGATATTTTAACATTAATTGGGCCAGCCTAAAATAGCCCATACCACCAACGGTTTTGTTAAAAAAGACGGGAGACAATTTCCTGAATATCATAGAGCGCCAAAATTCGAACTTTATACCGCCAAATTCTTTAAACAGCACCGTCTGTATATATATAAACACACACACACACACACAAACACAAAAGCTAGGTTATTTATTTCACGCGAAATTTTCATTTTCAGTTCTTTAGTCAGCNAGCAAAGTATACCGGTCCAGCATAATATGCTGGAGTTCGTACACAAATGCACCAGAACTCCCGTATATTATACTGGACCGGTCCCTGTTGCAGCAAAATAGTGGCTATTTTTCATTGACTTGGTAAACGCTGGCTATTTTTCATTGACCAAAAATTCAAAAATAGCCAGATTTACCACTGGTCGTTGAAACATAGCCAAGTTTCAAAAGTCATCGAAATTTAGCCACTTTAAATCTGAGCGAAAACACTGTTCAAAATCCGGAAAAATACGCCCGCAAATTTTACGGGAGTTC